CCAAATGTAACTGGGCCCTAGCATAAAAATTACTGTTTAAAAATAACTTTAGGACTTCCCTGGTGGCACAGTGGCTAAGAATCCGCCTGCCAATGCAGGGGACACGGGTTCGAGCCCTGGTCCGGGAAGATCCCACATGCTGCAGAGCAACTAAGCCCATGAGCCACAACTACTGAGGCTGCGTGCCACGACTACTGAAGCCTGCGTGCCTAGAGCCCGTGCTCCGCAACAAGAGAAGCCACAACAATGAGAAGACTGCGCACTGCAAAGAAGAGTAGGCCCCGCTCGCTGCAACTAGAGAAAGCCCACATGCAGCAACGAAGACGCAACGCAGCCAAAAATAAAATAAATAAATTTATAAAAAATAAATACAATAAAAATAACTTTAAAGAGAACTAATTAGTTTGAACATATTATACATGCACTTGGTATAGAATTGAAAAGGTACAAATAATATAGAATGAAAAGTAAGTTCCCACTACTGCCACCCCTCCCCGTCTTGCCTCTAGCCACAAAGTTTTCCCCTTTCCAGGTCATCACAGTATCCAGTTTCAAAAGACCTTAATGGATAAAAGAATTACTAGATTTGTTCCCCCAAATGACATGTCCCTTGCAGTTCCGCAGCCAGAAAGGAATGGATAGAATCACTGATTTTTTTCATGCCTCCATGAGGTGAGGATTCTACAACTCAGAATTCTAAGAATAATATACACTATAACATAGTTGAATGAAATCCGTAGAAGTGAGTCAATGTGATGCTATTGTTAAGCTTTCCAGTGTGGAATGGCAAGGAGTTTATTGAGATAGAATACTTTTTTGATTTCTGAAACAATTTGATCAAAGTTTTGCTTTTGCTCAAATCGGGCAGAGTTATTTCATAGGGAAATTTACCTTATTAAACTATGTGTTGACATTTTCTACCTTACATTCAGCACTAGGTGGTAGAGATTCCAAAGAGTGGTTTACCTTTGAAAGGAGACAGCAGTTAACTGTTTAAACATTTTCTGAACTGTGATGGTTTCTAAGGAGCCGCCAGGGCTGGGGGAAGAACTGAAGAGGATATTTTCCCCTCCTAGTGAAATGGGTATTCAGCCTCATTGACAGAAAACAACTGGCCTTTATTCTCTTGCTGAGTGTTATGAAAAGTATTCATTAATTCAATACTTAAAAGTCCTTTTTTTCAAAAGCTAAACAAAACCTATAAAAGGAAGCATTTGTATGCTGCTCTGAGTAACACAAAACTGGGTGATGAGCAGTAGCTAAATCTCTTTTTGTACCCTGTTCAGAATGAAAAGGTCAGAAGTTACATATTGACATTAAGGCAAACATGATTCATTTACCCCACCTCAGACAACGGTAAAAATGAAATCAACCAACCTACAACTAAAATCAACTGATATACTTTTCCCAGAACTTACAGTAAAAAAAGGACATTGAACCATCACAAAAGTTTACATGTAAACACTACCAAAAGGCCAGTAAGGGACAGTAGTTTTATTTTTATTTTATTTTTAAAATACTTAATATTTACCCAAAATATAGGCTACCAAGTTCAGGCAAATGGCTAAATATTTTAGGAAAACATTAAGTTAGTTCTATACTTCATAACATAAATTAGATGAATTCCATCTGGATTAACTACTTAAATGTAAAGAATGCTTAAATGGGACTTCCCTGGTGGTGCAGTTGTTAAGAATTTGCCTGCCGGTGCAGGGAAACATGGCTAGATCCCTGGTCCGGGAAGATCCCACATGTTGCAGAGCAGCTAACCCCGTGCGCCACAACTACTGAGCCGGAAAGAATTTGCCTGCCGGTGCAGGGAAACATGGCTAGATCCCTGGTCCGGGAAGATCCCACATGTTGCAGAGCAGCTAACCCCGTGCGCCACAACTACAGAGCCGGAGTGCCTAGAGCCCGTGCTCTGCAACAAGAGAAGCCACCGCAATGAGAAGCCTGCACACCACAACAAAGACCCAAAGCAGCCATAAATAAATAAATAAATAAATAAATAAATAAATAAATAAACGTTAAAAAGAAAAAAAGAATGCTTGAATGTTTACATGTAAAAAACAAACCGTGAAAGTAATGTAAATTATAGGTAAAATTTATCTGTAAATTATAAGTAATGGGACTTCCCTGGTGGTCCAGTGGGTAAGACTCCATGCTCCCAATGCAGGGGGCCCAGGGTCGATCCCTGGTTGGGGAACTAGATCCCATATGCATGCTGCAGCTAAGAAGTCCACATGTCACAACGAAGATCCCCCGTGCCACAGCTAAGACCCAGTGCAGCCAAAATAAATAAATTAATAATAATAAATTTTAAAAAAATTATAAGTAAAACTTTTTAGTGTATTAAATATACAGATGTCTCTTCATAGCTGCAGTTTCTGCATCCAAAGAGTTAACCAATCACGGATTGAAAATATTCAGGAAAAAAAAATTCCAGTAAGTTCTAAGAAACAAAACTTGAGTTACCCTTTGCTGGAAGCTGTATGCATTTACATTGTATTTACAACTATTTACATAGAATTTACATTTTATTAGATGTTATAAGTAATCTAGAGATGACTTAAAATATATGGGAGGATGTGGATAGGTTATATGCAAATATTATGGTATTTTATATAAGAGCTTTGGGTGTCCTTGGATTCTGAGATTTCCTCCACCACAACTGTTCTAAAGGATGGTATTCCAAGTGAATACCAAGGGACAACTGTATAGATAAATATGAAGGTTCTGGGATTCTCAATGCAGAAAAATATAAAGGAAAAGACTTTCATTTGACTACATAAAACTTCTGAATGGGAACAAAATTCTTCTACATGGAAAGAAAATCCTATCAAATAACCTACAACAAACTGGGGAAAAAAATATATTGTTGAGAAAACTTTCTAGGCCCAAGATGGAGCTGCTCCTGCCTGGGGTGCCATGTCAGCAAACTGAAACCTAAATAACTTTTCTGTCCTTGTAAATGCTCTGCTTGAAATGCAGTATATCTTGTCAGCCTACACTGACAAGTATACTAATAGGCTAATAGCCTAATACTAAGGCTTTACACTAACTTCCTTGCTCCTTCTCACTCCAAACAAGTTTGACTATGTGGCCACTGCCAATCAGATATTTTCTATTTTTCTCTTCCTTGTTCTTAATTCTTTATCCTATAAAAGCCTCCTGAAAAAAGAGTAAGTATTACTCCAGTCTAGGTGATGTGATCACAAATCATGAAAAAAAAAAAAAAAGCCTCCTGCCTTCTGCCCCATCTTGCAGTTCTCGAAATGGAGACCATCCGCTTTAAGTATTAGATAAAGGCTGTTTGTATCACCTAAATGGTCTTCTCTAATCATTTTTCTTAACAACATGCAACTTTTGTGACAAGTAGTTTAAGATATAATAAAATTTTATAAATCAATAAGCAAAATTTCCAGTAAGAGGATGGACACAAGTATAAAAATTTACAGTAGAACAATTCCATTGGATAATCAATTTATGAAAAAATGTTCATTATCTATTATGGACTGAATTGTGTTACTCCCAAATTCATGTGTTGACGATCTAATCCTCAATACCTCAGAATGTGACTCTTTGGCGATAAGATCTTTAAAGAGATAATTAAGTTAAAATGTTATCGTTAGAGTAGGCCCTCATCCAATAAGACCATATCCTAATGTGACAAAATTTGAACACTGACACACACAGAAGGAAGACCACGTGAAGACATAGGGAGAAGACAGCATCTACAAGGCGAGGAGGGAGGCCTCAGAAGAAACCAACTCAGCTAACACTGCCATCTCAGACTTCCAGCCTCCAGAATTGTGAGAAAATACATTTCTGTTGTGTGAGCCACCCAGTCTGTGGTACTTTGTTGTGGCAGCCCTAGCAGATTAATACACCATACCATAATCAAAAGGATGCAAATTAAAATGGCAATTATAACTCTCAAAGTGGCAAAGAGAAAATGAATAGCTATATTATTCAGTGTTGATAAAGTGGTCATACACTGCTAGCAGTAGTACAAATTATTATTACCTTCTGAAGGACAATTTGAAAATAAATATTAGAAATCTTAAAAAAATGAATACACTTTGACCCACCAATTATACTTCTGAGAATGAATCATATGGAAACAATCAGTGTCATACAGAGATGTTCATCACAGTCTATTCTAATTTATGCATGTGAAAAATTGCAAATCACCTAGGTAACAAAAATTAAAGGATTAATTTAAGAAATATTAGCTCCTTAACTAGAATATTAAGCAGTCATTACAAATGCTATTTTTGCAAATGAATTAGGTACGTGTAAAGTTATTTTTTTGTTGTTTAATGAGCCAATTCAAATATATAAACAATAAAGAGAATAATGTATGTGGTTACTGCCCTGATTCTGAAATTTTTAATATTTTGCCACACTTGCTTCTGTTTTTTTTTAACATTTTATTTTTTATTGGAGTATAGTTGATTAACAACGCTGTGTTAGTTTCACGTGTACAGCAAAGTGATTCATTTATACATGTACATGTATTTATTCTTTTTCAAATTCTTTTCCCATTGAGGTTGTTACATAATACTGAGCAGAGTTCCCTGTGCTATACAGTAGGTCCTTGTTGGTTATTTATTTTAAATATAAGTGTGTCCATGTCAATCCCAAACTCCCTAACTATCCCTTTCTTTATATATATATATATATATATATATATATATATATATGTTTTTATTTATTTTTTTTTTTATTTTTTTTGTGGTACGCGGGCCCCTCACCGCAGTGGCCTCTCCCGCTGCGGTGCATAGACCCCGGACGCACAGGCCCAGAGGCCATAGCTCACGGGCCCAGGCGCTCCACGGCATGTGGGATCTTCCCGGACCGGGGCACGAACCCGTGTCCCCTGCATCGGCAGGCGGACTCTCAACCACTGCGCCACCAGGGAAGCCCAGGGTTTCGCTTTTTTAAGAAATTAATTCTGCCTACCTTCCCACCTCACCTCCGTCTCCTCCCCTCCCCACCTTGAGATAGCTCTTCTCTCAAACCCCTCTTCTTGGCTTGGCAGCTCTTGGGTGGCCTTTCTCTTCCGGCTCCTGATTCCATGCCTTCTCTTTGACCTTTTCCAAGAGCAGTTGAGTTCGATGCCCATAAAAGCTTCAAAAGTCTTCATCGCACTCCTACCTACAAGTTAATACAATCTTCAAGGAAACTGGACGAATTCTATTAAGGCTGAAGACTTTGTTTGCCTTGTGAACAAAAGTTTTCCCAGCTCCCAGTCTTCACCAAAGCTGTGCTGAGCGAGTATGACATCAATTTACATTTCCCTACCTTGGCAGAGAAAACCTGAATTACAATCAGTAGCGTGTTTCCAGTTCCGGTCTGAGTCCAGAGTCTCTTTCACATGGGTGTTCCAAGCTGGGTGAGTCCCGCTTAGTGTGGCTCGGGTCCTGCCCCCGGCTGTTCCGCCTCCTTCTGTTGCGGTCCGGGAGCCACACACCTGGAGTCGAGTTCCCCGGTAAATGCGACCCGTGTCCCAACCAAGGACACCCGAGAATCACCAACACCAAGCAGAAAGATTAGCAAAGGATTTATACAAGTACAAGTATAGAAGCTTACACAAACTGTCCGGACAGGGTCCCACTCGGAGAGAAGTGAGTGAGTCCCCGACTAACAGCCGGGCGAGGCTTTCATACCCTTCACAGGCCGGGAAGTCCCCGAGGCGGGAGGGAGCTGTTTAATTTTGAATCAGCCAATCAGGAACCCGGTTCTTCCCGCCCCGAGCAAGCAAGCAAGTTTCTTACAGAAGCCAAAATGTGCTGTTAGCCCTGAAGCTGTTCTTCCGTTTCTTTCGTCACACTTCCTTGTTAAGGGGAGCCAAGCCCAGTGGGCAGAATGAAGGGCGCACCTACAGGGTGTCATTGAGGGACTCTAATAAGTGGCACATCTGAAAGAGACCTGTTTATAGCTTCCAACGTGCAGTGTTCCCTGGTTTCAGACTTTATTGCACATTAGAATCATCTGGGAGCTTTTACAAATATTGACACCAGGCCATACTCTACACTAGTTAAATCATAATCCTTGGTACAGACTTAGGTACCAGTATGTTTTAAAGCTCCCTGAGTAGTTCCAAAATGCAGCAAGTTCGAGAGCCGCTGGACTAGACTGTACACCGTCATACACTGTGCTAAGACGTTATGACCATTTTGTTCAAAGCATTTCACATAACTGAACTAGTTATATTGTCATCACCTTCTGTTTCACACGTGGGAAATTTGAAACACAAAGGGAAAATGTTACTCATATGAGGAAGGCCACAGGTGAGTTGTTAAAGCGGTTATAGAGGGTGTCACTGCTCTCAGCAAGGCCTGAGATGTGGTAAATGCTGTATTATTGTTTGAGGTTTCCTGGGAGCAAAAACGGTTTGGAGAATCTGCATGGGGCATGCAGACAATGTGAATGGAATCATGATGCATTAATTTCTGAATTAATGTTTTCTGTCTGAGAACCCTGAAACCTGAAGGGGTAAAGTGATCATGAATTTTTTAAATTAATAATATGGTTTTGGTTTTAATATTAAACCTGACTAAGAGCTGTGGGAAATGCCCACATGTGGTCAGAATCAACATCAAAAAATTCAATACTTTAACCGTGTTCCATAGCAACTCATACCTTGTGATTCTGGAGATTCTGCTGTTCGCCAGCTCTGGCTCAAAACAAATGTCAAAAAACTCAAACCGAAGGCCCTGGCAGGCCACAGAACCCATATCTTGGGTAGTTACAGAATATTTAAATTACAGTGGGAAAAAAAAGATACGAGAGAAGGAGTTGATAGGGACAGAGCTTTTATTCTAAAAATCAGTGTTTTAAATTTACTTTCATACTTTTAATTAATCTTACCTCTGATTGAGTGCTGAAGTTGTAAATTACTAACCCCATCATTACCAGTAGTTGAATCAGTCAAAAGAAGGGCGTAGATTAATTTCAGCAGAATTTTATTTTGGCTGCTTCTGTCACTTTCCAGTTTTGCTTTCCAGAATCAAGCAATTTCTGTACTGGGATGAGCAGATCAGAAGACACTGCTACAAAGGAGAAGCCATTCTCCTTTATCATAAAGATTATCAGAGTGGAAAACTCCATCAACCCCCCTGAAGACTTATCTCACCTGGAGATTACATAGAATATCCTACAACTATGTGAATGGAAGGTCAACGTGCCCTAAAGACTTCCTCACAGAAGAGTTCCCCCACCAGCCTGTGGATAAGACCTGAAATTCTTCCACCATAGATTCGAATTTTAGAATAAAATGCCATCCCTCTCATGGCAGGTCTTGAGAGTTCCCAAGTGAACACTAACTTCCCCTATTCCTTGCCAGATAAAGCAGACGATGCCTAGTTAAATTTGAATTTCAAATAAACAGTGGATGATGTTTAGTATAAATTTGTCCCAAATATTACATACTTATGCTAAAAAAAAAGTGGTATATTTTTTGGTCAGAAAATCTAATTTAACAAGGCATCCTGTATATTTATTTATTAAGCCTGGCACCCCTCTGCTAACCAAATGGAAATTCTGTTTGTAGCAGCAATATGCCCATCAGCAGACATTAGATCACGACTGGTCTAAATCAATCATGATAATACAGTCCCTCATTTTCCCAGACTTGCTTGCATCTGGGAGTATAGTGTCCTGGTCATTGAAAAAAGGAAGTCTATGCATATGTGTGGGATGCGGTTTGAAAAGATTTTTTTTTTTTCTGGCAAAAGAGATGTGACTAGTGGTTCTACCTTTGCTCTGTCCCTCCTTCTTGCCTAGAATGTGGATATGGTGCTGGGATGCAGCAGCCCCCTCCTGATTATAAGGACAAGCCAATGCCAGCAGCTGCTACCTCCAGAGGTCTTGTTTGTAAGAAAGACAAACCATTAATTGTACAAACCACATGGGTTTTCTGTGGCTTACAGCTAAAAAACTCCTCTTAAAAAAATGCAAATGCCCTGGGAGAGGAAACCTTATTATTCATAGCTTGATGCGAAGTCACTTATTGGTATCTTATCCATTGAGAACTAGCCACAGGGGGTTTTGATTGACTAACAGCTGAGAGGTGCCATAGGTCCAAGCTAGAACCATTGCCCAGAGAAGGCAGTGGCAGAGTCTGCCCTGACAGGAGATCCTCCTTCACAGAGCTGCTGCCTCTTAGTAACATGGATCTGTGGCGTTCTTGGATGATTTGAGTAGAGCTGTAGCTCCTGAGGAATTCCCATAGACCCCTGCCTGTAGTGAGCGGAATAATGCCCTGCTCCCAAAGATGCCCGTATCCTAGCCCCTGGAAACTGTTTACATGTTGTATTACATGGCCAAGGAGAATTAAGGTAGCAGATGGAATTAAGGCTGCTAATCAGCTGACTTTAAGACAAGAAGGTTATTCTCAATTATCTAAGCCCAATGATATCATAGGGTCCTTAAAAGTAGAAGATGGAAGCAGGAGAGGAAGACAGAAGCAGAGGGGAAAGTGGTTTGATGTGAGAAGGACTCAACTGACCATTGCTGGCTTTAAAGATGGAGAAAGGGGTCACAAGCCAAGGAATGTGGGTGACCTCTAGAAGCTGAAAAAGGCAAGAAAACAAATTCTTTCCCAGAGCCTCTAGAAAAGAACACAGCCCTGCCGACGGCTTGATTTTAGGCCAGTCAGACCCATTTCAGACTTCGGACCTGGAGAACGGTAAAGTAATAAATTTGTGTTGTTTAAAGTCATTACACATGATAAATATAAATCATTCATTCATTTGTTCCTTTATTCATTCTTCAAATATTATTGAGCTCCTACTTTGAGTCAAGCACCTTTGTAAATGTTGGGGACATACCAAGAACAAAACAGAACAACAGATATTTGCTCTCACAAAAATCTTTCTATTTATTGGAGAGGGACCAGATTTTTAAAATATTAAGTGAAACATAATATTATTATGTATTTTAGATGGTAAACATGCTATTGTGGACGAACAAAACGGTGAAACAGGACAGAAAGAGTTGGGGAGGGGGGTTGCCACTTTAACTAGGGTGATCAGTGAAGGTAACATTGCAAAATCATATTTGAGCCCAGTCTGGTACCTGGGGGAGGAGTCTTCCAGAGGGGCAAGTGCAAAACCCCAGAGATGAGAATATGCCTGGTGTAGTTCAGAGGGAGCAAGGAAGAATTGGGGGAGGAAAAACTTCCCCTCTACCCTTGTTTAGGGTCTTCTGGCTGATCTAAGAATTAAATTGACATGAGACAAATTAACAGGTGAAAATCAATTTGAATTACATACGTATGGGGGGCCCATAAGAAAAATAAGATTCAAGGACAAGTTAGGCAATTGAGGTTTATCTGCCATCTGAGAGAGGAAGGGAGGTAGGGATTTGGGACTTCAAAGGGGAGGAAGGCAACTTACAGGAAAATGGGGAAAAACAAATGTTTGGTAAACAAATGTTTGCTGGGTTGTGCAGAGCCAATGGGGCACAGAGAGGAAGAGCACCGGGGATAGCGCTCTTCCTGGACCAGGCGCTCTATCTAAACTCTTTTAGGCAGTTAAAGGGGAGGTAAAAAGAAAGACTTCCTGAATCTTCTGTTTCTTAAAAGTAATTGGGGGCTTCCCTGGTGGCGCAGTGATTAAGAATCTGCCTGCCAACGCAGGGGACACGAGTTCGAGCCCTGGTCTGGGAAGATCCCACCTGCCGTGGAGCAGCTAAGCCCGTGTGCCCCAACTACTGAGCCTGCGCTCTAGAGCCCGCGAGCCACAACTACTGAGCCTGCATGTCACAACTACTGAAGCCCGTGCTCCTAGAGCCCGTGCTCTGCAACAAGAGAAGCCACCGCAATGAGAAGCCCACGCACTGCAACGAAGAGTAGCCCCCGCTTGTAGCAACTACAGAAAGCCCTCGTGCAGCAACGAAGACCCAATGGAGCCAAAAATAAATAAATAAAATAAATTTATTAAAAATAAAAAAGTAGGGGGCTTCCCTGGTGGTGCAGTGGTTGAGAGTCCGCCTGCCGATGCAGGGGACACAGGTTCGTGCCCCGGTCCGGAAAGATCCCACATGTCGCAGAGCAGCTGGGCCTGTGAGCCACGGCCGCTGAGCCTACGCGTCCGGAGCCTGTGCTCCACAATGGGAGAGGCCACGACAGTGAGAGCCCCG